ACGTATGCTAAGCTCCAACAGGTGTTACAGGAATTAGGCATGAAAAACACCATCTATAGTCCAGTGAATTATGGCCCAGATGAGGAGCCTTTTACTGCAGGATGAGAAATACGGTGCTTCAAATGGCTCCCACATCCCTCTTTGGGCCCATAGTGGCCATTCTTGCCCCTCACTTACAGCAGCTCGTAAGTGAGGTTACCTGTATGGTAGCAGACTTGCCAAAGGCTGAAGAAGTGAGCACATGGAAGGAAATAGGGTCTGCTACTCACAAGAAGAATTTAAAGGGCCATGTGATGGTCATAAGGACCCAGACATTTGTTGATTTAATACAGGAAGGACTAGACAGAGAGAAATTAGATGGGAAGTCAAACAGAATCTTACTGGAGCTATGGCAACAATTGAAACTGGAGCAGCAGTTCCAGCCTTTGAGGACCAAGAAGCAGAGGCCAGAGACAGAGTGACAAGTCTGGCCTGTATGTAGGACTTCCTGCTGGAAAGTGAGCCAACCTCACCTGAACCCACAGAAGAAGATTATTGAGGGATGTGGTTTAACTAGGGGTCAAGGTACCTGCCCTGGTGACCAGAGGCCACATGTTAAAATATCAATTCATTGGTCTCCAGTACAACATGTCCTGGTTCTGGTAGACACAAGAGCTGAATGTTCACTGATTTATGGCAACCCTGAGTAGTTTCTCGGGACCCCTGCTGTTATAGATGGACATGGTGGTAAGGCTCTCAGAGTGAAAGAGGCCTGAATCCCACTGGGAATACGGCATCTACCCCCAGAGGAATATACTGTGTATATCCCATCCCTGAAGATATTTTGGGGATTGATATCATTCTTAAATGAATGATAAGACCACTGTAGGGTGAGTTCAGACTGAAGATAATGTATGGTGAAGGCAGTTCTGAGGGCATGTGCTAAATACCTGCCCATAGCTTTTTCTGTGCCTTGGTGGGTGATTAATACCAAATTGCCTGGAGGGCATAAAGAAATTGGAGAAACCCTCCAGGAACTGGAAATGGTGGGTATTATGAAGACCACCCACAGTCCTTTCAGTTCCCCAGTGTGGCCAGTAAAAAGCTAGATGGCTCCTGGAGTATGACTGTGGATTACAGAGAATTGAATAAAGTCATACCCCCTGTGTGCTACCTCCTCCTCTATTGTAGACCTGATGGATACCCTCAGCCATGAACTAGGAACATATCATTATGTTGTGGATCTTGCTAATACCTTCTTTTCCATTGACATAGAACAGGAAACAAAAACAATTTGCCTTCACCTGGGAAGGATGGTAATGGACATTAATTGTCCTTCCACAGGGATACCTCCACAGCCCCACCATGTGTCATGGACTTGCAGCCCAGGACTTGGCAGCATGGGAGCAACTGCCAATGGTGTGGCTGTACCATTATATTGATAATGTCATGCTCACATCTAATTCTCTTTCAGATCTAGAAGGTGCAGCACCTAGACTGCTGCAACATCTACAGGAGAAAGAATGGGCTGTGAACAGCACCAAGGTTCAGGGACCTGGTTTGCTTACAGGTTGTCTGGTTGGGTAAGACTAAAGTTATACCAGAAGCAGTCATAGATAAAGTCCAGGTCTTTCCTATCCCTACAACTGTGGCATTGTTACAGGAGCTTTTGGGTCTTCTAGGCTCCTGGAAAGTGTTTATCCTGCACTTGGCACAAATTCTGAAGCCCTTATACCAGTTGGTATGAAAAGGTGTCAGGTGGGACTGGGATGAGACCTGTGCATCTACCTTCTACAGCAAAATCGGCAAAGCTTTGCAGGGCTTGAGTGTGATAGACCCATCAAGGCCTGTGAGCTGGATGTTCATGTAACTGAAGACAGTTATGGCTGGGGTGTCTGGCAGCTGCTTGAATGAACTTGGCAATCTATTAGATTCTGGTCACAACTCTAGAAAGGAGCAGAGGTATGGTACACTTTAATAGAGAAACAACTGGCTGCCTTGTACCACAGCTTGTTGGCTACAGAACCCATCACCAGAACAGCCTTGATAAGAGTAATACCCACCTATCCCATTGCAGGGTGGGTGTGAGACTGGACCAAAAAACCATGGAGTGGTGTGGCATAGACATCAACACTGGCCAGTTGGGGTGCATACCTACAGCAGCATAGTGCCCTCTCTACTAGCCCCTTGAGTGAAGAATTCCAGTGCTTATTGGGGCCAGTGATATATACCAGTGGAAAACAGGAAGAATTTACTTTAGAGCCATTAGTAAGAGCCCTTCTTGGGAGGGAGGAGCCCCTATACCCAAAGATGCATGATACACAGATGGCTCCAGCTGTGGGCAGCCCCCAAAATGGAAGGCTGTGGCTTTCCATCCTAAGACTGAGAAAATATGGATGAAAGATGGTGAGGGGCAGAGCAGTCAATGGGCAGAGCTGCAGGCAGTGTGGCTTGTGATTAGCCAGGAGACCTTCCCTGTAGTTGTCTGCACTGACAGCTGGGCTGCCTATCGGGGCTTGACTGTGTGGCTGCTGACTCGGTACCATGTCAACTGGTTAGTTGGTCACTGGCCCCATTGGGGGCAAGAGTTCTAGCCACACTAAAATAGTTACTGTATATCATGTGACTGGCCATTTACCACTGGCATCCCCAGGAAACAATGAAGCAGATGAATTGGCCCAAGTACATGGGCTAGAAGGAAAGCCTGCCTCTGATGTGGCCCAATGGTTACATCAATGTTTGTTGTATGTGGGGAAAAGACAATGTGGGCTGTAGCCCATTGGTGGAGCCTGCCTTTAACCTTTGAAGAAGTCATTAGAGCCTGGCAGGAGTGTATTGTGTACTCTAAAAGGGACCTACACTGAGTCCCACAGCAAAATGGCACAATAGCTAAAGGGCCATTTAGACAGATCTCAGGTTCAGAGGTCCTGTCAACTACCACCAGATGTAACTCTGGGGGGAAGATCTTGGGGCAAAATACTTTTGAAACTGAAATCAGTCAAAGGAAGAAATAAACTTTAAGAAACCTGTTTATTTCTTACAAGCAATTGACCAGTCTGTCTCTTGACCAGGCTGCAGCAGAAGAGAGCCCCACCCAACCTCTCTGGTCCAGATAAACCCTTGCCCGCCCTTGTAAGTACCCATTGACATGTAGATGGACACATTTTCTCCACCCCTTGGAAACACCTATTGATATGCAGATGTACTAAAGCCAGGTGAGAGATTCTGGAAATATTGCAATTTTACCCACAGGGAGCCATGAAGCACAGGATGGAGTTAGATTATGTTCTGAGAACATCCCAAAGAGAGATTTTCAGGTAGGCTACTAAGAACAGATTGTGCAATGGCAGTTCTGTTCTGGTCACCCAGGTGACAGAAACATGTAGGCTGTAACCTGAGCTCTTAGCAGCCTCTTCCTACTTATTAGGAATAAAGTGGAGACAGAGTGAAGACTTGGAAATAAGATGAAATAGCAAAGAGATAAACCACAATAATTTGAGCAGTGAGGAAGCTTTACTTGAAAGTATGCACTTAAAGAAAGGAAAGTGAGGGCATCCTCAGAAAGAAGGCACACTGAAAGTTTGAGCACTCTGTCTTTTAAGACTTTCAAGAATGGGGCGAGGGGCAGAGGGGGTGGTGTTGGGGATAGGCTTGACTTGTGGTCTCAAGGTGCTTGTCTCTGGTGAGAGGCACCATATCTCCTTTCCTTTATTATCGGTCCTCCTGCTGATTCTGCTGAATAAACCCAACACAAGGGATTTATTTATCCTGTTCTTCTCCAAGATAGTGGTTACCCTCAAGGAGTGGGGACATATCATTTAAGACTGCCTGCCTTGCCCTATGATAGGTTGTTTAGTTCCATTGTCTGATTACCAGAGAATATGAATCTTCTCTCTCAACTTTCTACTTTTAAAAATGGAATTGTATTCTTAAGATGGAGTCCCTCCTGTTCTTACTATATTGTTTCTATCTCAGCATTTTTCATTTTAGGAAGTAAAAGTTAATCATCATGCTTGGCCCATGTCCCTGCCCTACCTCAAGTTCATATTTGTAACATATAAATGTATATATCTTTTTCTAGGCTCTTGTTCATTTGTCCATCCTTATGCTAATACATTACTGTCTTACTATGGCTTCATTATACAAATTGGCATTAGGGGATAAGTCCCTTCAATCTTACTTTTTGTTTTCAAATTGTCTTGAATTCTACAAATATTTTTTTCTACACAAATGTTAAAAATATTAGGATGACAACCTCAGCAGAAATACAGATTCTATTTTTAAAAATCACTTCCAGAACTCTACTAGAAATATGAAAAAGATGAACTGGATCAATGGGTAACTGAATACATTTAATACTATACCACAAAGTCATAAACATTTAAAGTAATACAGTAGTATTTATTATACCTGAATATTATTACATACTTCCGGGGGAAAATAGGCTTTTGAGTTTTTGAAATCCACAATTTTCCTTATACTGAAGTATATTCATTATCTTACTTTTTTGGTTGGACATAACTGAAAAAGAGAATCTTGACTTCAAAATGAACAATTCTTGCTATTTATATTTTCCCACATATATAAGGAACGTTCTGTAACTTTCCGAGAAACAGTGGCTTCAACTAAATACTGAACGACTACCAAAAGTCATGTGCATATTTGGAAGTTTTTAGTCACTGGGAGTCATGGCATTTTTCTCTGTATCACACAGACTGTTACAAATACTTTTTTTTTACTATTAACTTGGAACAGAAGACCTCCTGTTCTGTGACTGACTGGCAGGCAGAAATGACAGGGACAGGAAATGGGAAATGGTTCAGGGTCTTGGAATTCCCCTGGCTGCCTAATTAAGTGGCTTGTTTTTTGGAAGTTTTTAAAAAAGTTTGCCCCCCTGGAGTTCCCCTGAGAAAAGAAAGCATCCGATTTCATTGACAAAGAGTATCTTCAACAGAACATGAATTAAAAAATTTGTTCGCTGCAATGTAACATTTACTGCGTATTATCATGTTCACAGAACTATTGGAGAAGGTTGAGACAACGTCCAAGCCCAGTAAAACCAAGATTTTTAGTAACAGTTAAACCATTTAAAAATTTCATTGATAATTGGGATCCTTTGTGGTTCAAGTACGATTTTACACATATGCACACATATGAGTGTATACATTCCATTTTAGTCACATTCAGAAAAAACTGGGAGTGAAACCTGGCTTGAAATACCATTCACGTTGCCAGCGACGAACTTTTGAAGTAAGGACACTTTTTTGTTAGTGCCTATGTCTCCAGAACACAAAAGGAAGTTTAAAAACTAACAAAAGTTTAAAAGTACGAGATTCTTTGGTGATTATAAAACAGATTTGTCCAAAAGATTATAAAATCAAGCCTTCAAAAATTAATCTTTTGATGCTGTTCTACTTTCCAACACTTCGTTTTCATTTCCACGCCAACTGAATGTTGTTAAGCAGCTGCACTCTTAAGGAAAAAGGGTTACAATTGTTTAAAAACTGTTACAACTCTTTACTTAATTGAAGGGAAAATGCCACCAGGCGGACTGCATCCGCAGCCGCAGTCGTCCACAGCGCGCGGTCACACCGCAGGAATTCTGCCCGGGGCTGGACTGCAGCGCGGAGGTGGCGCCGGGGGAGAAGAGCGAAACCATCCGCGCAGGGGCGTTTCCGCAGGGTTGTCCAAGGGTCAAACTCTTCGCCTCGGTTCGCCAAGTCCCCGTCTGGAGAATGTTCGGGACAGAGAGAGAAGGAAACGTTGAAGGTGATCACACCGCGGGATTAAACACGAAAACACCCACCTGATGGGAACCGTCCCCCTTCTCCCCGCGTCCCCTGGCCGCAGACTCCCGGGCGCCCTCGCGCGGCGGGGACGCAGGGCCCCGGCCGGGCGCGGTGACGTCACTGCGCGTCAGCGTGGGTGCTGGTGGGTGGGGGGCGCCGGCAGCGCTGGGCCCAGTGCGCCGGGCTGCTCTCCCCTCCGAAGCGCTGCTCCTGGGCTGGCGGGGGCCGCTGGCAGCCGTGCTATGTCGGTGTTTGCTGGGCTTGCTCCTCGGTGAGTGCGGCTCCTTCCGGGCGACGGGAGGCGGGTGGGCGCGCGAGGCCCTCTTCTTGAAGCTGAGGCCGGGCGGGAGCCTGAGGCCTGGGGCCCTCCGCGCGGGGTCCAGGCTCGCTGCTCTTCCCGAGCCTTTTATTTAATTCGGAGGCTCCAGCTCCACCACTTGCAGTCGAAAATAGTTTTTTTAAATTGACCCGTTTGCTTGCCTGCTCTGGCCGCCGTCCACTTTTACGGCCCTTGGGTTTTGACCAAGATGTCTTCTCTCAGCGTTTCCGCAGGATTTTAAACTCGGCCCTCCGTATTCCTTTAATATGTTCGTACAAGGATAACTCTGTGGCGGGGAGATCTCACATTTCAGATAGTTCCAACTGCCCCCCGCCACTTCAGGCGTCTGCTGTGTATGGTGAGAAATGACTCCAGGAAATTAATGGGTAAATCCTTTAGTTTGGCTTCCTTTCCCTTCCACTCTACTCCTTCCCACCCGCTGTATTTTGAATAAAGAGGGCAAAATCCACAGTGTGGTGCTGTGGATTAATCTGTAAATACATGCTATCAAGTCCCTGTGTAACCAGAGCATTTATTTATGCAGGTGGTCACATCCTGAGGCCCGTGCTCCGCAGGCCATTGTGCTGTTTTGTTTTTGTTTTCTGTGGTTGTTGCTTAGGAATCGTAGAGTTATATTATATTAATGCGTTCTTGATGCATTTTACTCTTAACTGATAAATTTGCCTAGTCCTGTGGAGACTTGACATTACAAAAATAACGTTACTGCCCAGTTACAGCTCTACTGCTGCTGATGGTGTAGTCTGTCTTTTTCACCACCTGCTGCCTTTTGCCTCTAGCAAACTGGGGGAGATACTATCCTTAAATTACTAAAAGTTGTCACCAGAAAAGGGAAGGAGGCCAAAGATAATATATGTTCTTATGTGAATATGTCCATTTGTCTTCAAAGAAAAAAAATATGTGTATATACATACTTAGTATATACACACATACATACTTAGTGTAAGGGTGAGTATATTGCTTTTGTTTTAATGAAGAGCTTTCCAATTAGAAGACGCTGGAATTAGGTGTATTATCTAAAAGTATAAATCATTTTTAGACTTTACTGAATAAATTAAAGAATGTAAGTTCTATTTACCATGAAAATACAGTTTTCTAAAATAGCTTTTTTTCTTTTCTTTTCAGATTTACATCCCTGAAGAGTCTGCTTTTTTTCCCCACATTTTTTTCCCCTGCAGTAATAAATCCCATTATGGAGACCCAGAAACTTTATAAAGGGATATAGTTTGAATTTTGTGGAGTGTAATTTTGTGTATGAATCATATTTTTAAAATATGGAGGGTTTTGAGGAAGAAGGCTAGTAGGGTTAATTACTCGTATGTTGCATCTAAGAAGCAATTCTTTTGGTAATATTGTATTTTTTAGGCATTTGCAATAACTGTAGAAAGGACAAGCTGTATCTTGATGATTTATCTTTAATTACAGAGTGAATGGTATAGATGCCTGATTCTTAAATGAAAGACATGTTGTCAAAGTTGTAAATGCAGTGTAAAAAGTTTCTATTGTGGAAGTTTTATGGTTAACTGAGTTTATGGAGAAAGTACTCTCGGTTAAGTATAGTAAAGTGATGCACAAAGTTAAGAAAACATGATACTGCAGGAAATAGAAACATAGACCATATTTGACAAAAATGGAAGAATTAACAATTTGTGAGCTTTAAGCAAGTCATTTCATTTGACATTATACATATTATAACACATATAGGTTCAACATAGTTTGTGGGTTTTGATGTCCCCAAAAGTTGTTAGCTGAAGTTATAGAGCCCACTAAGTACATGCTATGGTAATAAGCTATGTGAAATTAGCCTTCATGTAATGTGACCATATTAAGACTTTAATTCTTTGTGTTTACTAGAAAATAAGATTTTTTAAAAACTCATTAAAGTGCTTGTAGGGAAAGAAGCCTGCAGATGTTTATTTCCTCTTGTAGCATCATAATAATTGTTTTGATATCCTGTCTTTGTAGCTTGAAGCAAGAGCAAATTAAAGGCATAATTTAGGTATTCTATAGTTTACAATTTTGGGAATAGAAACCTTGAAAAATCAACATTTTTAGGGGTGTGTTAACTTCTTTCAGGCCATTAGGTTAGCATTACACCAAATAATGAGCAAATAGCACTTGAGTTTCATCTAAAAGAGTTGATACCATCTCAAAAAATATTATCTTGATAATTTAGGAGGAGAGAAATTCATCCTACTTTAGTGTAAACTTAGGTGTAAATTCAGTGAAGAAGGTGTAGTGATTTGGTTTTTTTTATGGTAAACTCGTGTGAAGAGATGAGAAATTTCACGTGAAAGTTTTTAGCTATCAAAAAGTAAAGTCACTCATGCACAAAACTACCTCCCAAAGACTTGTCCCAGGTCCCTCGTATCAAAAATTGAGAGTGTAATGGATGATAGGGCGATCTTATCAAATTGGACAGTTGGCAGCAAACAAAAAATGAAATATGATTTTTCATGTGAACTGTACCGAATGTCTACATACTCAGCTTTCCCTGCGGGTGTTCCTGTCTCAGAGAGGAGTCTTGCTCGTGCTGGTTTTTATTACACTGGTGTGAATGACAAGGTCAAATGTTTCTGTTGTGGCCTGATGCTGGATAACTGGAAGCAAGGAGACAATCCTGTTGAAAAACATAAACAGCTGTATCCTAGCTGTAGCTTTATTCAGAATCTGGTTTCTGTTGCTAGTCTGGAATCTGCCTCTAACAATACTTCTCCAATGAGAAGCAGTTTTACACATTGTTTGTCTCCCAGTTTGGGACTTAGTAGCTCATTCAGTGATTCGTATTCCAACCTTTCACCAAACCCTGTTAATTCTAGAGCAGTTGAAGACTTCTCCCCATTGAGGACTAACCCTTACAGTTATGCAATGAGTACCGAAGAAGCCAGATTTCTTACTTATCATATGTGGCCATTAACCTTCTTGTCACCATTAGAATTGGCAAGAGCTGGCTTTTATTACTTAGGACCCGGAGATAGGGTGGCCTGCTTTGCCTGTGGTGGGACACTAAGTAACTGGGAGCCGAAGGATGATGCCATGTCAGAACATCGGAGACATTTCCCCAGTTGTCCATTTTTGGAAAATTCTGTGGAAATGCTGAGGTTTAGCATTTCAAATTTGAGCATGCAGACGCATGCAGCAAGACTGAGAACATTCGTGTGCTGGCCCTCCAGTGTACCAGTTCAGCCTGAGCAGCTTGCAAGTGCCGGTTTCTATTATGTGGGTAAGAAACAAACTAATATATAGCTCTGTTTTATCTAGCTTGTTTTGATTTATGTATTAGAACATGTGTATTCAGTGTTAGTCTTGTTTTCTTTAGGTCGCAATGATGATGTCAAATGCTTTTGTTGTGATGGTGGCTTAAGGTGTTGGGAATCTGGAGATGACCCATGGGTAGAACATGCCAAGTGGTTTCCAAGGTAATTGTTTTTAAAGGTATTTTTACACAAAACTCTGTGCTTAATTAAAGAAGTAGGCATGCTTGCATGATTAAGTTCATGTTTCAGTATAACGAAGCTGCTTTTATAGCTTTGGGGAATTAGCCTTTTAAAATACCAAATTTTAAAATTAATTATTTTGATAAAAAATGTTTTGTGTTTTCTGTTGTAAGCCATGTATTCAGGATATAATTTAACTTACTCATTTACAATTATGGTCCTAATTTCATTCACACATTTTTCCATTTTGCTTTAAAGATTATAAAGATACGTAAAATAGAACAAAAAGAACATGAATTAGAGAAAGGTAAGGGAAAAAGGAAAGGAGGGATTTAAGATTTAAATAGATTTAGGAAACAGACATATAAAAATGCATGTAATAAACTGATTATAATTCGAAGTTATTTTTCTGTATAATTTTATCTTGCGTGATATGTCACTTTGCTCTTTTAGGCATTCTAGCAGTGTCTCCTGTTTTTCACTCCAGCCTAGAAAGAATTTACAGGTGGTGTTAGTGGAAATAGAATTAGAAATTAATTCTGATTGTTTTACTGAATACCTCTGTGAGCTTGAACAAGTTGTGTGACCCTTTTGAGCCTCTTTCTTCATCTGTAAAATGAGGGGGTTGAACTAGATAATGTTATGTAAAAAATTGTGGTAAACATACATAACATGAAATGTACCTTTTTAAACATTTTTAAATATATAGTTCTGGGGTGTGAAGTACATTCACATTATTCCTCACACATTACCACTGACCATTTCTGGACTTTTTCATCTTCCTAAACTGAAACTTTTACTAACTCTCCATGTCCCCTTTCTCCAGCCCCTGGAAACTACCATTTTACTTTCTGTCTCTAAGAGTTTAACTAAGTACCTCATATAGGTGAAATCATATAATAAAATATTTTGACATGTGACTGCCTTTCACAGTAGTGAGGATCTTTTGAACTCCTTTAGGAAATTAAAAAATCCTTTTGTCATTTTTGTATGAGATAAAAAAGAAATTGGATGTAATAAATAATTTATTATGGGCCAGTACATTGTTAAAAGTTACATTTTAAAATATCTTTAATATTTATAATATGTCAGGATACATTTTTACTTTCTAACTTTGAAAAATGACATTTTATTTATATAGGAAAAAGCGTGTTTTAAACTCAGTTTTAAATAACATTTCAAATTGGCTTCATGGGATTGTGTACATGTCATTTGAAATGTAACAAATATTGTATTAAAAAGATAAAGACAGATTTCCAGTTCCAGTGTTTGAATTGCTACAGTTTGTCCTTTGTAAAACAAAGCAAAATTCGTTTCTGTAATTTGTGTTTTGTTTTAAATGGCTAAACAAGGGAAAAGGCTTGGCTAAAATAAGGGAAAAGGCTTGGGGTGCTTTTTGTAAAAACCTCTGAAAATAACTCATTTCAATTGTGAATAATCTCTAATCTTAGTAAATGAGAAGCCAAAATGGATAATCATTACTGTATTTAACATAGGTCATTTATTCATCAAATATTTGGGTGCCTACTGGATACTATTTTAGATGCTGGAATGAAAGAGTGTATACAGACAGAAATCTCTTTCATAGAATTTATTGGAGAAGGGGGAGATATATGGGACAGCCAGGGTCCATTATACTTTCTGTCCTTAATCATGAATATAAAGTAATCAGTCCCATAATAATTCAAAATTATATAGAGATCAAGAACACTGATAACTAGCTCTATTATTTGGGTGATAAGGTTTAGGCTTGAGCGTGCTTATCTGATCTTTACTGATTCTTCCCATTAACCAACCAGTTGACGGGTATTTGGGTTGTTTCCAGTTTGGAGCAATAATGAATAAAGCCACTCTAAACATAAATAAACATTGTGGATGTATGTTTTCATTTTGCTTGGGTGAATAATTAAGGGATAGGATTGGCTTGGGTTGTATGGTAAGTTTTGTATTAACTTTATATAAGAAACTGCCCAATTGTTTTCTGAAGTGGCTATACCATTTAAAAATTCCCACTAGCAATGTATGAGACCTTAATTACACTTGGTATT